GTGAAGAACAGCACAGTAACTATATTTTTTTTTCTCTTGGAGTTCCTAAACCCTTTAAGATTTTCAGGATCCCTTGACCTGCTACCCTTCCGCCACCGCATTTTAATAATATCCAACCTATATACATAATTTGTCCCTTTACAAACATAATTTTTCCCCATTTTTCAGTTTCAAAGATTTCTGATCTCCGAAGATTTTCTACAAACTCTTCGTGCTAGCTTTTTTGATCAAAATGTTACTCCGATTTTCTAAATCTATTGTAAGCAAGTAAATCATTACTAACTTTAATCATCATTTAAAAAATAATCTTTTAACGATTTTAGGAAATGTGAATTATTAGATATATGAATATCTTTTATTTGATATCAAAGGGTAAAACGTAATTCGAATATTATTTGTCATAATATTTATCTATCTAGAGTTGATTATTAAAATGGTTCCTTATCCAGCAATAAACACCTATAGAATAAATGTGTCGTACATAAATAATGTATAACCAATTAAAGATATATACTTTATGTGATGGGTTTTATTTATTTAGAAACAATGGATAACAATACTATTAGCAATACTATTGAGACTGAACTGTTTATATGATATAAATACAAAAACTACAATAAACATTATTTTCCCTAAACACGGCTTATATTTATTATTGATTTCTAACAAAAAAAAAACAAAGGTAAAATAAAAAACAAAACATAAAAAACAAAACTATTTAATTGTTTTGATTTTCCTAAATAATTTTAAATATGACTGTTTTAAAATATGAGACATCGAAGATATAAAATTTGCTATTTTTGTAAATAACTTTTATAAATTTAAAAGAGTTTAGCAATAAAAAGAAGTAGATAAACTTATGGCATCGTTGCCATGCGATATACCCAAAATCAGTGTTCTTATAAATATGTCTCAAAACTTTTGATCAAAAAAAAATCTTATACAAGATGCCAAAATTGACCTTAAATAAGAGATAAATATCTTTTAAAAAAAATAATTTTTAATTCCATAAAAATTTAAGAGTTTTAATTTTAAAAGGCATAGGTTTGGATAGTTTCGTGCGCCAGTTTCTATCTAACAAAAATTTGTTAGAATTATAGGAACACTTCTAAGGTTAGCATTCAAATATATTAGTATCAAAAATAAGCTTTATTCAGGTCCGTCTTAAAATAATAAGTAAGGTCCAAATTTCCCGAAAACAAAATTAACGGTTTTATTTTATTTTTATATAAAGGAAAACGAGAATGATTTAATTTTGCTAAACGAGATGAAAGATCCATAGGAAAAAGAGGAAATGAGAGTAAGAGATCATAGCAGCAACCAGACCATAACTGGAGAATATATCCGTTCTTTCGAAGGAAGATCATATTCCTTTATTGTATAATTTTTTTTAAATTAAAGTCTCATTCAAGATAAAAAATTGTAAGGTGTTATATTTATTGTTTTTAAACCCTGGTCCAGAAATAAAAATTAAATAATATTAGAAAAACTTTGCAAAAATACTATTAATTTTTTAAATTATATAAATTTTTTGATACCAATATTACTTAAAATTTTATTTTATAAAACATTATTTGATAAATATTTATAATATCATATCATATTTATAAAGCGAATAAAAACAAAAATTCATTATTAAAATTAATAAACCTACCATAAGATGACTATCATTTACGTGATACGTGACGTATAGCGCTTTTGCCCTCTAGCGTTGAAGGTTCAACAGAGCTAAGCTTAGGGTTTTCCTCATTTCCATCTAATTGGAACAGAGGATCTCTCCACACGTTTGTGGGCAAGCCGCGCGTACTTGTAGGCACAACATCCCGAAAAATGTTGCTTAAACCTCTATAGGCTTATTAAAAAAGGAGTGGGGATGAAAATAAGAGCCTATACCCGAGAATTACAATGTAATTTAATTACTTTAAAGGTGGGGGGGGGGGTGATGGCTGATTTTAAGTTTAAATTCTTTAGTGTAAAATTTATGATTACTATCAGTATTGAGATATAATGTTCAAAGAATCAAAATAAATTTGCCTGATCAATAGATATAGTATTATTATTTTTTAGTAATGATTCCAACCATTACAATACAGTACTATCACTTCAAATTTTTGGAGCGGATGGCATCATTCTGATACAAATTTTTTTTTATAAATTAATTGCTATAAATAATATCAAGATTTTATGAATAATTCCATATAATTCTAAATAGGGTTGTTTAGGTATATCCATAATAAGATTACGTTGAGTTTGTGGAAGAGAATGGTGATCAATAACCAGGGAATTTTATAGATATAATAATTTAGATTTTATAAACTAACATCTAAGGTGACCAAATGCCTCATTCTTTCAGTAAAAAGTGAAATATTTTTTAAATTTTCTCTAAAAATTAATGATATATATTGAATTTTATATTTTGTAAATTTTTATTAAGTAAGGACGAAACTACAAGTTATCAAAAAAAAAGGCGCAGTTATATTTTAAAATAATAATGTGTCGGAAATCAGCTCAAATACCTTACAAACTAGAACGCCCGGATTCTTTAAGATCAGATGGTAAAAATCCCTGATGGGATCGGATCCTCAAGTTCCATGGAAGAGAGTCCAATTTTGTGACAATTCTTGTAGTTATGCCCTGCCCATCCTTCCAAACATGCCCCTCAACCGTCTTAGACAATAAAGAAAAACATGAAATATATAAATATTCAGAACTCTCTGATGACCATATGTTCTTACCTACCATATCGACCGTACTTACCAACTTTCGTGAACCTGCCCTAATATTCTTCAAAAATCTACGTTCCCAAATACAGAAGAACCTCGTGATATTTTCCTGCGATAAAGGCCGGCCATGTAATCCTTGCTACATTAGACTCAATGACAATCTTCTTCAGGCCCCGTAGCCAGGGGTTTCCAGTGGGGGAGGGGAGAAACTGTTTAATTTGGAGAACCAATATTTATTTTGAAATAAAACAGAATTGAAAATTCGTAAAAATAAATATTACTATAAATATAATACGAAGATTTGAATTTTTTAATAAATGAATTAAAAGATAAATTCTGGGTTATTTTTTTTTTCTCATGCCATTAAAACTAAATTTTGTTTTCGTTTTAACCTTCATTGATTTTCTAAACAATTGGAAGTAAAATGTCGAAACCGAAAATATTGAATAACTTACGTTGTAGTCAAATATTATGGAGAAATAAGTAATTACAATGTAGGGTGACTGTCTGAGTACCTCTAGGTGCCCGAGGTTGGTTCAGTTACAATTCACTATTAAATTTGATTATGTTAAATGAATATTTGTCCAGTAATCTATAGATGCGGTAATACGTTTAGGGGCAAATCAGATTTTTCGAAATTTATACCACGAATTTCATATCTAGTTATGACAAATATAATTTTGTTAGGTTAGATTTCATCGATATAGAATGTCCAGGTATAACAATCTCTCAATAATAATAGGTCCCCCCCCCCCAGAAATTTTTTAAAAACAAAAGTCACATAATCTTCGCAAAACATTTCCTGATATTGTTTTAAAATCTTAATTTATTTATTAAACCTAGGTGTTAGCAATAATTTCGTAGACAATTGAGTTATTCATTAAAGTCTGTTTTTGGAGTTGTCAATTCCGATCAGACACAAATCCGCCAAAAACGTACTTTTCGGAATCTTTTTTTCTCCGTTAAAGATCTTTATTTATCTCTTTTTTTTCCCAGAAAGAGAGAATCAAAAATTTCTTATTTTCCTCGAGCATTTATAATGTTCCCCTTATTCTTTCATAAAATCGCAAATAAGATATATATCCGTTAAATTTATTTTGGTCGGATTGAATTGAATATTATTTGTTAAATAATATATCCTATCAAGTCATATCAGTCGACAAATTTTATTTGACATAGCTGGACATATGGCGCGGAGTTTCGTATAACCCCCCCCCCCCCTCCTCTCACGTCTTTTACATAGTAGAAAATCTGATGGGGATAAACGCTTCTATTAGAAACTTCTTATTTCTCATAACATCCATTTAATAAGTGTGCATAAAAAATAAAGTATTCTTTACATTTACCAGAATTTTAGTCCCCCTATGAGGGGTTGAAGGTTTGACACTATCTATTTCCAAGTGTGGTGTAGCGGTTACTTCGTATTAGTTTTGTCGTATACTAGACAATAGTTAAGCTCTAGTGCTCGGGCAAAAACTCATTATTTTAATAACTATTCATCCGTTTTGGGTATCACATTTTCCAACTTACCATGAGTCATATGTTTTTAAAGTTACCACTCCTAATTTATAAAATTAATAACCGAAACCAGAGATACGTAGAGCGTAATACTATATCTCTGTAGTGTTGTTAAACGGCTAAGTGTCGGCTTTAAGTAAACAACTTTAATGAGTATAATATATAGAGGGACTCTGAAGCCGACTCAGTGAGCCGCTCAATTTGAAATGAGTTTTGCGACTCCGACTTGAGTTCAGAGTCGTAAAAACTCGACTATTTAACAACACTATATCTCTGACTTCTCATATTTTTATATGTGAGAAAGGATTGTTGAAGTTCAAAATAATTAATTAGTTCTCTTATATTTTTTAACATAGGAATAAATTGGGCTCTTTAAAAAATTTTTATAATGATATGGGTAATCAAAATGGCGTCCACAGCTGTTTTCATTGGTGTAACATTTTAATGAACGCATTGTCAGTCTAGGTATCATAAATGTCATTAGGTTAACCATCTAACATTTATCGAGATGATCAATCATTGTGTAATTTACGATAAATAAATATTGTATGACCAAATGGCATATATTAAATATAGTATATTAGTACCACCAATACGAATACGTAATTATGTAGGCCAATATACAACTAAATATTATATAAAATAATGATTTATTTTTCTTTTAAATATATATATATAATTTAATTTTAAAATTCTTGAAACTTTTTGTAAAATGGAAATTTGGAATTTAGATTATTAAATAATATATTATAAAATAATAAATTGACTATGTAAACATATTTTTCTTATCGTAAATATAATTATAATACAATATTTAATTGTCGTAATCATAAATAACTAGAGTAAATTTACGATATAATTTTAGGGAGATAAATAAATTAGACAATGATTACTTTATAGTATTTTTTTTATTATTTAATTTTTATATAAAAAAATATATTATGATAAAATAAGTTGTATTTGGATTAGGAAAATGTTCGACTAGAATATTTTGTGTCGTTGTCGAAAGAGAGTTTAGGATTGAATTTTGTAAACGCTCATCTCACCTTTTATGGCGATCATTTCTGCCATCATAGCTTTATCGTGGGGCTTTAGGGTCAACCCTTTCTGCAGTTCCATCACGGCTTGAGGATATAGTGATAGCCCGTGGTAAGACTGAGCTTTTCTAAGGTAAATCCTAGGATTTCTGGGATCCAGATCTAATGCCTTATAATAAAAAGTAAAAGAAGTAAGTGCATATAACATTATTTTCATTAAAAAAAACCGAATTTCGTTTTAAATACTACTTTTCTTATTTTTTTAAAATGTCAATCAAATACAATGACAAATCCTGCATGTTGTGATTGACGTTGTAGTGTTAAAGAAGTGAGTCAATGACCGATCAACAAATCAATTATGTTTCTCTGACAATCAACTCTACTATTAATAATTATATATTCTAGATTATTGTCAGACATTGATTAATAAAGTACAGAGTTATTTTCACTTTCCTACACTAAAATAATTTAATCAATGGGGCTATTAAATTATAAATGCAAATGTTTGAAATAGATAGATCCATCCACGTCAAAAACTAAAAAAAAAACAGATGGGAGGGGGAAGTTGTAGGGGGAGAGCACCCTAACCCAATGACGTAACAAATCATTTGAATCTCCAAAGTAACGAGTTTTTGATTTGTATAATTTGGCAAGATTTAGGTTTATATAAATATGGGCAGGCTTGCTCGCCGGCTAAAAAACCCGCGAATTTCAGACCCCTAATCACGAATTGGTATTATATGTTTGAAAAATAATTTTATACGTATGGGCATATTTGAAAAAAAAGCTTAAATTTTTTGAAAACCGTACCAAGCTACCCAAATTCTGCCGGATCCGAGAGGCACATATAAAGATTTACTATGTACTTAGTGTCATGCACTATTTAAGTTATGGAGGGGGGGAATGGCCGGACCAAGTTTCTAAAACCGGGTGACCACCCGATTTTCGTGAACCCGTTATCGGTCACAGTAATTGTCGTTTATTTTGAGACTCATGAAAGATAAAAACTTTTAAATTTATAAAATTTTAGCACAAAAAAAAACGAAAGCATAAAAAATATCCGAATGTTTAGCCAAAAACCGAAACCGTTACAAATACTTTTTGAACCGGTACATAAATTGTTAAAATTTATATAATTTTTTCTTATTCATCATATTTTTTAAATAATTTTTTCTTTATTATATCTTTATGATTATATACCGTAAGAAAAACCCAATATAAATGTTCAAAAAATAATCGAAATGTAAACCGAACCGAAATCGTTATAGAACTCTAAGTTAAGAACGGATAATTTTCCTGTAAAACCCGCGTTTTTTTCTGAATAAAAGGTGGGGGGGGGGGGGTGTGCTGGCTAGATAGAAATACGTATATATCAAAATAAATCGCACATAATAGTGCGCACAAATTGAACGTTTCAACGCAGCTCCTCAAAAAGCAAAAAAGTGCATTTTATACGCATTCGTTTTAAATTGGACAGCCATTTTTTTTTTGTTATAGACGTTCCATATTAAAAATAAATAAAAATTAACGCTTAATTTTTAAACATGATAGTGCGTTTACGTTTTTTTTATTTGCGTTTTAAAAACGTCGCGCGATGTAACGTTTCAATTTGAGCATTTGGGTTTATGAACTAGATTATAAGAAGTTTCAAATATATATAAAAGGTATAATGGTGTGCATGATACCTCATCGCAATCGTGGATGGCTTCCTCGAATCGACTCATTTTGATTTTGCAGGCAGAACTTTTGAGGAAAATAAATGTGTTAGGTAGGATTATTAGTAATTAATTTGATAACAATTGTAATTCATTTTGTTGATATATCAGATAACATTCGCCCCTCTATTACGTAATCAAGTAGTAATAGAAGGTTTATCCGAATAATAATACCTAGACTGACGTATTCATTCATAATGGTGCATTTGAGAGTGTCGTTGAATACAAATCAGCTGGACGCGGTATTTTGGTAACCCCTATAGTAATTATTTTCATGGTAAAAAACTACTATTTAATTGATAACTTACTTGCTTCCTTATTATCTCCATGATAAGGCAATTCTTCAATAAAGTTTGCGTCAGACATAGGAATAAATTGGTCTCTCGTTTAAAGTTTATAATAATGATGTGGGTAATCCAAAATGGCGTCCCCAGCTGTTTTTCATCGATGTACACTTTTAATGAATGCATCGTTAAGTCTTACGTATCATAAAAACTAAAATAAATATGACTTTTATTATTTGTCCAATATCGGAACATGAACATAAAAATGTCGCAAAAAAATATAATAAAATACGAGCTAAGGCCTATAATAATGGAGAATTAATAAAAAAAATATTATGAATTTATTATAAAGAAGTCTCAAGCTCGAGCCAAAAAAAACATTTCCTATGCTCCTACATGATCCCATCCAAATTCCTTAATACCCATAACCGTGTCAAAAAGGGTATCTATAAAATTTCCCGATAAAATACAAAAGATAGTTAAAGCAAAAACCGAGAGATAGAGAACAATATACATGTGTCGTATGGGGATTCGGAATGGAAATGTAAGAAGTAGTAAGAAGGCATTTTTTTATTCTTTTGGATTTTCTTGGAGTCAAATACGAAATATTTTTAACACTCTTTTATTTTTCTCTATTATATATATTTTTCACGATTTTTAAACTAAAAAAAATAAAATCAAATAATCGCCGATTTTTACAAAATAATAATATATTTCTCTTTAATATTATTTTTTTTTATCAATTAATTTTTTTATAATACAACATGTACCACCTTTTCAAGGTTACTATATGCCACATTCAACCATAACTATCATTTAAGAATATATTGTATTTAGATTCTTTTGATTCAAAACTTCGCGTCATTGAAATTCTCTTGATATCGACATTGAGAGAAACTTCATATCGTTGATAGATCGTTTTGGTTGTTATCAAAAATTATATTGGTTAATGTGAGTCATAGCTTGATTTATTCATTGCATCCTTGGTCATTCATGATCATTCTATTTTAAGCTTGGTATCTTTATCCAGCATCGTTGATTATCAATAAATTTTAATGGTCAATATACCATAGATCAATCGCATTATTGTTATTTATTGAGTTGATTACACAGAATATTACACAAAGTAAGTCAAATTTTTTTTTTAAATCGCTTTATCATTTTTTTTACATAATGAACCCTTACACAAAACAACAACATTATTATTTTCATTTTATTATTCCTTTTACCCTTAATATTTCCAATGATTTCTCTATTTAACTACCAGTTGCTTTTCCACAATTTACGTTTCTTCTCTTCTCAATACCGCTCACGTTTTATAAATTTTTACTACTTAATTCTTTAAATAATGAATTACTTTTTAAAACCAACAATTTTAACAAACTAATTACAATCCCAACTCAGATATAAATATTTTATCTTCCCATCCTTTTTATTCAAAAAAATAAAACACGTTAAACTTCAATACAACTACCCACATATTTTACTTCATGATTTTATCAATATAACATTTTTTGAAAATGCAGGTGTGCATCTATTTTTTACAATTTTCTCATTAACAATAACATTAATCCAATTCTACAATATTAATATTTAAATTCCACACGACCAGAGTTGTTAAAAGATACTTTTAATGGATCTAGATAGAGATACATCGTCTAAAATATTATCTAGATACCGATATTTTATTCTAAAATCTATCTAGATACAGATACCACATTTTTATATCTAGATACAGGATCTCGATACTTGTATCTTGATCCTTTAACAACTCTGCACACGACTATCAAATTTTCAACTCATCTAACATTTTAAATTGGACTAGGCGATCCATAACCATTCCCCTCAAACAAAAATATATTATATAATTCTACAATTCCCTCAGATAATTAGTGTTTATATTCCTCATATACATATTCTTAAATTTTTCCTTTAATTCTTTCCTTCCTTCCTTTTTTCTAAACTACATTTTCATACCCTTTTTTTAAAAATACTTTATGACCCCCTTCATTATCCTCCACTCTCCTTTAAACAAATATCAACCTTATAAATCTATGAAACAACCCAATTTTTCATCAAATAAATTTTTATACATATTCCTTAAATCAATCATATCATTCTTTAGTAGAACCTAATTCTCTTCTCCTTCTTCTACCACACTTTCATTTTTTTTAAAATTTTTTTCTCACAAATTTCAACCGGAAAATTTTTCGATACAGGTAATTTTTCCCTCTCCAAATTTGAGTCTTTGTAAATCTCATCACATTTTATATAATTATTCAACCATCCTCGATTTCCCTGAAATTATATTGTCTATTTCCAAATTAAAATTTTCATCATCAATTCCCAAAATATTATCAACTTCCAAATCTACCGAAATATTTTCAATTTCCAAATCACTATTTTTTTTAAATTTCCGAATTTTCCAAAATATTATCAACTTCCAAATCAATATTTTTTTCAATTTCCGTATCAAGTTCGGGTATTAAACTTATATCAATGTTATTATCCAAAATATCAAGTTTTTCCTGACCCATTTTATCACTTATAATTTTTTTCATTTTTCTGAACTTCCTCACAATTATTTAATAAATTTTTAATCTCATCATCTTTTAGTATTTTACTTTCCACAAATTCATTTTCTTTATTATCACAAATTCTTTGATTATTATTTATCATACTCTCAATCACGAGTTTTTAACATCCACCTCTTTTACAGATACTTCAATATTTTTATTTCCATTTTTCCCCTGAAATATTTTCTAAACCAAATTTTGATATGCAATTCCATCCCAAAACTGTATCAATTTTTTCTTCTAATACCCACAAATCCAAATTTATTAATTCGTTATTTACGGGACTCCTTCTCCAGTCTGTTGATCAATCCACGCATTGTGCCATTTGTCCGCTAGTGGATTCGTCATGTCTAAAGATTTAATCTGCAACATAGTTCTATTGGTCTTTATGTAATAGGTCTCCATAGATTAAAAATATTTTTCTTTCTCTCGATTTTAAAAAAAAAAAAGCTAACAACAAATAATTTCTTTTTTACTCACCGTCTAAAAAAATTTTTTTTTTTAACTTATACAATTTTTTCAACCTCGTCTCCCTTCGTAGTAAAAAAAATTCGTCTTTTACACACCACCTAAATCGTATTTAAACTTTTACAATTTTTTATTTTACCAATTTTTTCTAATTAATTATCCTTTTTTTTTTACTCTTTAACCATCACAATTTTATCCGATTTAACTGGTAATGTATTCTAGCATGTGCAAGGTAACCTAAGCTGTAAATTTCAAGCAATTTTGCTACGAACTTTAGAAACTCACTTCTAATTTATATTAAATTTTTATGCGGATTTTTCATATAAATTATAAAAAAAATACTAAAATGTCTAATACAATTCCTGTACACAGATTTTTTAAAAATGCAAAAATAGCTCCTTAGGTAAATGAATTAAAATTGAGAGACACCGAATCCCCACGGATTCGGAAGCCCCCATACGACATATATATATATATATAATTAAGGTCCAATAAACCAAAAAATGATGTCGCTTCTTAATAGTGCGCACAACGCTTGCAAAATTGGTAAAATTACCGTTTGGCTTTAGCAATCATTTTAAAAAAAAACGGAAATAGGTTCGCCTTTTCCCATTACCATTTCCGTTCTTCGTTTTGTAAATATTATATAAAAATGTAAATATATTAACTTACTTGTAATCCTAAAAAAAAGAAATATTGTCAAAATTAAAGAAAATAAGAACGCAGACGATAAATGTAATTTCCAAAAGACAAATTCCTTTTTTTTTATTTTTAAGAACTTATTTAAAAATTTCGAATAGTTAAACAAGTGACGCGTTGGCGAAACGCGAACGCTCAATTTGTGCCGCGCGCTATTACTCCCATTTTGTAAAATAAATTAAAAAAAAAAACCTATTGAGAATACAAGTGGATATCAACTTCATGATGGCGTCATTCTGTTCGTGGCTGATGATGGCTTTGCTACTGGAATATTCCAGAAACGCGTTCAGATATCTGGATCACAAAAAAAATATAAATTATTACATTCTATTTTTCTTCTTCTTTCATATATACCATTATCTTTCCCTCCAATAATAATAGTATCATTAGGAAGATGTACCGATATTTTTTTTAAAAAAACAAAAACCGACCTGACCCGATCCGATAAAAATATCGGTTATTAGCTGATAAATATTAAATTTACCGATTAAAATGGCGTTTTAAAAAAAAATTTTATTGATATTCAAGAAAATATATTTTATGTATACATCAGAGATCTAAATATTTTACAACCGAATATTTCATAACCGCCATTATTAGCTACAAAAATCAAGAAATCCAGGCCGGGCCGAAAATACCCGGGCTGGGTCGGGCCGAATATCTTAAAACCAAATTATTTGAAAGCCATTATTAGCTATAAAAATCAAAAAAAACAGGGACCGGTGTAGAGCTTGTAAAAATCAATACCGTATTGATAATTTATGACCGAACCTCAACCTTTTACGATCTAAAATTTAAAATAAAATTTACGAATCTTCGAATGGACCATTTATAGATGAATCGACAAAGATTAGATTGGCACATGACAAAATTTTGAGAAGATTTCTCATTCAATCAATTAAGGTACATCATATTAATTTATTTGAATTCATAATATCATTTTATTTGTAAAACTTTGGAATCAACAAATTACAGAGCACTTCACAAAATATTTTAATGAATCAAACCTTTACTGCTAAAAAATTATCCAGATATTCTGATGTATGGCTAAACAATTTTATGGTTAAAGAAGATATTCTTTGTAGAAAAATTAATTTTCCATTTTTTTTTAATTAGCTTTAGTAATAATGGAACAAAGAAGAGAAACAAAAGGGTAATATCTGTTATTCACCAAGGATCAGATATATCCTTAGAGTCTAAAGCTATTGGTGCTGCCCACCTAGGCATTAATAAAATCTCAACTTAATCTCTCTGAAAAGGTATTTACTATGGTCGTTAAATTTGTTCGTTTTTTGTGTTTATAGATATTGGTGGCCAAAATTAATTCAAGACAGACACTATATGATTTTATAAAAATCACGTGATAGATGCCAAGAAGGCCAAATACAATTTTTTTCCCCAAAATTTCTTCCACCTTGAATCCAATAGATGTGGCACCTCTTTCCAGGGGCTCAAATTAGGAATTGATCTTTGCAACCTGCCAACTTCGGAAGAAGGCTCCAGCTGATAGGATTTGTGAATTATTTTTTTTCTATGAAACATCTTCTTTAACCATAAAATTGTTTGCCATACATCTGAAATTACTTATTTTTTTCACCCGGATAATTTATAAGCAGTAAAGGATATTATCCTGTTACTAAGTCTTCTCTTAATTGTTGGATATTTATCTGCGATTGCTTTATACATATATAATATTTTCTCGAATATTAATTTAAAAAAAAAAAGTAAAACGCCATTTTATCGAATTAAAACCCGGTGTAACGTGTGAAAGTGATTTCATGAGATTTTGATTTTTATCGCTTCAAATACATTGGGGGCCATTTAAATCGTCAAAATCTCACGGCTATTCAATATTTTTAAAATCTCGCATTATTAATTTAAATATACTTTTAAAACGTCAGATTTGAATGAGGCTGTCAAATTAGAAATATTTCTATATAATACAATTTAATTTGTAAATTCTTTTTCCTCTCGATAAGTATATTTCCTGCATTATGGAAGTAATTTTTTAACAATATATTTTTTATTTCAGAAATATTTTAGCTCAAATTACAATGATTTATATGACTTCCTAAAATGTTCTAAAGTTCCAGTGAATGTTAATAAGGCTAACTTTATTAGAAAGTGTACCGGCTTCAAGATTATAGAAAATCAATTATTCTATGGGGAAAGTAAATTTTAGATATGTCATGATTAATTTATTAAAATTAGCCATTATAAGTTTAATGCAATATATTATTTTTTAACATTTGAAAAATGCTGAGGCCATTGATTATTATCTTTTTTTCATCTAAAATTAATTATAGCTGCAAATGTAAGTGTGCATATATATATATATGTAAGAACATTTGATAAAATTTTACATATAGGCATTATTAAATGCTATTTTACAACTAAAATTTAATTTAGATTATCACATAAAGATGAAAAGTAAATGTTAGATACTTTTATTATAATGTATATTGGGCTTATAAATGATTGCATAATTAATTTATTAAAGTTAGGTATTATAATATATACAACTAAAATTGTATGACAAAATTAAGTGCAGTTTATTATTCTAGCCATTGATTATATATTTTATTTCGGCATCACAAATATTATTATATATATAATTTAATGATATTTTAGAAGAAAGAAAAGTTATACTGACAGGAGATGAACAAAAAAAATAATTAAAACAATACATGAGGGGGGTGTATCTACAGTTGCAGGTATTGCTATGGGAGGGTATCTGGGGATTAATAAAACTAATCAAATAATAGCTGAAAAGTAAAAATTTGCAATATTCTTTTAATTATTTTTTTAAAGCTTTTATTGGTTGGGGAGCAATAAAAGTGTTAGAAAGTTTATCAAATCCTGTGAGGTTTGTCAAAAATCAAGCAGTCGTTTTGATAAAACCTCAAATGTTTTGCACAATATTAAAGTTGTGCCAAAGTCTCTGGTATCAAATTGGCATCGATTTAATCCAGATGCCAGAATCCAAGGAAAAATACAAATATATTTTATGTGCCATATGCTATTTTTCAATATATTTAATGGCTATTCCTATTAAGGATAAAACAGCTAAATCTGTTGTAAAAGCCTTACACATCATTGTCAACACCCACGGATGCTATGAAGTAATAAAATAAAAATACCAATTTTAACTGAATTTTATTATATAATATATATTTTTTTTAAATTTAATAAAACTAAAATATTTATTTATTAAAGATTCAGATAAATGATCAAGGCAGGGAATTCTGTAACAATGTTTGTACAGAATTCCATAAATATTGTGGGATAGTTCAGAGAATAACCTCAGCCTACCACCCCACAAGCAAATGGTTTGGTTGAGCGAGTTAACAGAACAATCCAGAACCGAATAGCAAAATCGGTTTTGGATATCCCAACTGACTGGCCAGATGCTTTGGTAGGGGTGTGTGGCACCCACAATTCTTGCATACACTCTTCTACGGGATTCTCGCCCTATGAACTGATGTATGGTCAGAAACCACGACGCCCTCTTACAGTAGAAATAATTTTTAATGTTATATTTTTAATTATTATTTAGTTACAAAACAAAATTGAGGATGTATTAGCCTTACCAGAGGTTATGGCAAAAATAACAATTGATCATTGTTTAAAAGAAGAGTTGGAAATTAAAATGGCTCATCTCAAGAAAATAACGGAACTGGCTATACAAAATATTGGTATAGCCCAGCTTAAACAAAAAAAAGGATTACGAAAAAAGATGAAATGGTTCTAAATCTTTTATTTTGGGACCAAAAGGTTCTTGCTTGGAACCATAAAAGGTCAGATAGGAAAGGGGGGAAAATGTTGAACCACTGGATAGGCCCTTATTTGATCAATAAAATATTTGATAAGGGTAATAATTTTATATTATATTAATTATTACTGTATATCAAGGTGAATATGAATTAATAACCACGAATAATCTCATATTAAAAACAAAATATAATTTATCCAATTTAAAAGAATTTATTGTAAGAAACAATGAATATCCAGATGAAAATGGTAATGATTTTTAAAAAATTACATTTTTTATGAAGTAAAAAAAAATATTTTTAGATACAAAAATTAATATTTAATAACTTTATAATTATTTTTAATGTTTTTATTATAATTAACGCATTGCCTTTAGATAGTAGTTCCCAAAATGGCCTTTATGATGAAATTATTCCATTTGCTACGGAGTTTGTTGATCCAAACTCTCCCAGAGGTATTGTATTTAGGATATATATTTGAATTATCTTTTGAATGATAATCTTATAATTATTTTTTGAATAATAACCTTATAATTATTTTTAATGTTTTTATTCTAAATGCATTGCCTTTAGATAGTAGTTCCCAAAATGGCCTTCATGATGAAATTATTCCACTTGCTACGGAGTTTGTTGATCCAAACTCTCCCAGAAATATTGTATTTAGGATATATATTTGAATTATCTTTTGAATGATAATCTTATAATTATTTTTTGAATAATAACCTTATAATTATTTTTAATGTTTATATTATAATTAATGCATTGCCTTTAGATAGTAGTTCTCAAAATGGCCTTCATGATGAAATTATTCCACTTGCTACGGAGTTTGTTGATCCAAACTCTCCCAGAGGTATTGTATTTAGGATATATATTTGAATTATCTTTTGAATGATAATCTTATAATTATTTTTTGAATAATAGCCTTATAATTATTTTTAATGTTTTTATTATAATTAACGCATTGCCTTTAGATAGTAGTTCCCAAAATGGCCTTTATGATGAAATTATTCCACTTGCTACGGAGTTTGTTGATCCAAACTCTCCCAGAGGTATTGTATTTAGGATATATTTGAATTATTTTTTTGAAAAAGCAGCACGTGCGTTACTTATAGATAGTGGTTCCCAAAATGTTGAGTTTGAAGATAAAAATATTCAGCTTGACAGGGATTTTATCAATCCAAAGACTCCCATAGGTAATGTTATTTCTGATATATATTTGGTTTATTTTTTAATTTATTACGTATACAGAATTGGATGATGATATTTTGATAATAAATAAATTAGAAAATATCCCTAGATATTTTTTTCCTACAACAAAGGATTTTATCATAAAGGCCATTTTGGGAACTACTATCTAAAGGCAATGCATTAATTATAACAAAAACATTAAAAATAATTATAAGGCTATTATTCAAAAAATAATTATAAGGTTATCATTCAAAAAATAATTCAAATATCTCCTAAATACAATACCTCTGGGAGACTATGAATCAACAAAATCTGTAGCAAGTGGAATATTTTCATCATAAAGCCCATGGGAACTACTATCTAAAGGCAATGCATTAATTATAATAAAAACATTAAAAATAATTATAAAGTTATTAAATATTAATTTTTGCATCTAAAAATATTTTTTTTACTTTAAAAATCATTACCATTTTCATCTGGATATTCATTGTTTCTTACAATCAATTCTTTTAAATTGGATAAATTATATTTTGTTTTTAATATGAGATTATTCATGGTTATTAATTCATATACACCTTGATATACAGTAATAATTAATATAATATAAAATTATTACCCTTATCAAATATTTTATTTATAATTTATCGCCTTATATATATATTTTTTATGAAAGTTGTAGTTTATAAATAATATTCAATTACATTCTGATATGCAATATATGATAATAATTATATTTTTCCATGATGTTTTTATTAAATTTAAAATTATGTATAAATATTTATATCAATAAAGTTCTTCGTCTATTTTCTTATACCAAACAAAGTTTTATCTAATATCTGTGACCCAATTCAGTACAAAATAATATAGAGATGGATTATCTTTGAAACATTATATTAGGTAAACAAAATAAGCATTACGATTAAGCCATTTATGCTAAGAATTTATCTTACTGTTTCTTTGCAGTGATTTTTAGAGGGTTGGGTAGAAAAGGCGGTTTGCCTCTAGTAAATTTTCTGTCATATATGAGCTTTGTCTAAATTAATATCTATCGAGAAGATGTACTTTGTATAAGAAATATCATGGGATCGGAGTATTTGGTTATTTTATAAATTTCATGTTGTGTAAATTAGCATGTTAGTAAGGATCTCTTCCCTACCTAAATATTGCTAAACTTTAATTATGATATTGATTGGAGCCTCCTATCAATAATCTGAACTAGAGGTCTGGATTGGGTGGTTTTTTCGCCCGTACTTTAAAAAAAATATTTTCAACATTGGGCGAGAGGGTTAAAAAATTTGGCAGAATTTGATATTTTTCTTGCGAAATGAGCAGAACAGTAAATAGTTTTTCATAATATTCCATATTATATGTTTAATTTAAAATACATTAAAATAAATAAAGAGCCAAACCAGCCATAAAATAATTTTAAAACAAAATATATATAAAAAAAATTATAAGTGAGAGCGAGGGCAGGTTAAATAAATCTTTTCGCTAAAAACCCGCCCATTACAGACCTCTAATCTGCACATCTTATCACACACTATTTGGTATGATATGCAGACTAAAAATATAAATTTAAAACTATAGAGAGGCGCCGACTATTTAGACAAGATAGATTTTAAAAAAACAATTTGAATAAAAAAATGTACCCTACATGGATTTGAACTTGCATTTTGAGGATAGGTAATGTAAGTCTTACTAACTAGACTACCCACCACCACACCTTGTAATACTTAATTTTATTTGTTATATATAATCTACTTTTTAATTAAATTTATATATACATCAAAAAGAGAAATTTGATTATATTGTTAACTTTAATGATGTTAAAATAAAGATGAGCTCTCGAAATGAAACAATATATATATTTTTACAAAGCATTACTAAAATATTATTTTAAAACATAGATTATAATTAAATAGTTAGGTGGGATACCATTATTGTCTCTATATTATATTTTATATCCTTTACTTTAATTATGTTCCATGATTTTACAGCTCTCATTATCCGACTTAATGATCTTAAAAAAAATAAAGATGAGTTCTTAAAATGAAACGATATATATCTTGCAAAGCATTATTAAAATATTATTCTAAAACATAGATTATAATTTAACAGTGTCTCTATATTATATTATCATTTAAGTCATGTCATGAAAATTTTTGCTTTAGATTTATCGCTTCAAAAACATTGGTGGCCATTATCATCAAAATTTCACAACCCATCCGTGTGAAAGTGATTGCGTGAGATTTAGAAATCTCACAGATCACATTCACACGTTACACCGTCGAACAGGGCAGGAAAAAATTTTTGAAAAAAAAATCCGGGTTGGTCCATGCAAATGGTACCTCTGCAGGTCTCTGTTATGCATTAAGAACAAACTTTATAAAATAATGATTAAAACTAACTAAATACTTGAAAATATGTTTACGATTTTTAAACTTGAGTACTGAAATGATTCCAACAATTTAATCGAACACGAATAGTGTTGTTAAACGGCTCAATTTTAGCCAGAAAAATATTGCCTTAGCCTCGAGATTTCTCAAATATATGTCTAGAGACTTTCGTTCCTCTTCTATGAGCAAAATCTTCAGGCTGGCGTAATATTTTTCTGGATGAAATATTGAGTTAACAACACTAATGTTTAACATTTATTGAATGAATTAGGCCCAAATGATAGGTGAATTAAAATTTGATATATCGACATTATATTTTTAAAATGACTTGTAAGTTACGGCAATAATTTCGGATTTAGCAATATCGAGTCGGTAATCGGACCGGATCGGTTTTCAATAATTGGTATCCGGTATATTCCTATATATATATATCATACTCATTTTTAACCTTAAAGCTTTGGCGTATTTCTGCAGCGCGGAATCGTAGTTTTGCTTCTTGAACAAAATTTTGCCAAAGTATTTTATGTGAGTCACGACGCTTAAAATGCCTTGAACCTTGAGAGAGATTTTACCAGAAAAAAAATAATAACTGTAGAATGGGTTTAGAGTAAGTATTCTTTTTCTTTGGTTCTTATTGGTTAACAATTTATTAGGGATGTTGGTTCAGATCAGCTGTTGTTAACAAACAGTAGGTTCCAAAATAGACTCGTAGATTTTTATAATGGCTAATAAATGCTAAACGCGCATATGTTGAATAAGAATCCTTAAATGTAATTTAACGCTAGAAACCTTTCACCTTTTAAAAAGGTACTTTTAGAAATGTAACGAAATACTTTTTTCCAGAGTATTTCGCTCGCCCTTGAGGGGTTACTACCCGCCTAACTCATTGCGGGAAATGATCTTGATTTGATGTCCACTTAAAAATATTTTAGCATAAAAAAAATACATTGGTGAAAAGAAGTAGATTGCTATTATTCAATTCATCCTCCGGCCATTCGGCATACATGTCCCTGATTCCGTGGTCTCCTATGGTATTGCTATTATCTGAACACGTGACATCGTGGATTCCACAATCGTTTATCTTGCATTCCTATAGGAGAAAAAAAAATATTCCGTGAAATTTAGCCATGATTGTCAAATTATTATTTTTTTTTTAAGGTGCCGAGGCTAATGTTAAATACAATTTGCCTAAACAATAAGGCGATATTCTATACATCATTCCCCCGAGAAGGAAACCAAGTTGGCTTCGGAAAGAGAAAAAATTTAGTCCGTGCTGGGATTCGAACCCAGTACTATCAGATGGCCGCCACAGACGTTATAATAATATAACCAAATCGGTTCAATATATCCTTTCATTTTTATAAAAATTTGTCCGAGTTCCGGTTTGGCGCGAGATTTTGAAACGGGTCGGGTGGAGTTTAGAGCGGGTTCGGTTTAAAAATAAAAATTTATGGTTAAAAATTAGTTTCGAAAAGTTTTTCTTTTACCCGTAAAAATTATGTGTATACAAAATAAAAAGACGACATTAGTATCGCGAATACTTGTATCTGAGATACAAGATTCTTTAGAATCTTTTTTTGACATTTTTAATAAGATACTAGACTATGTATCTAGATTCTATTTCCGGTAGACCTGGCCAACTCTGCATCTATTTGAAAAAGCTAATTCAAGCGTAGCGTATAATAATTAATATATCTCCCAATAAATTATTGTTTATTCTAGATCTATAGGGTTTGATAATATAAGTTTTAACAAAGAAAACGCTGCGTTTTCAACGTGGATTTGCGTGGCCGAAAACTGCGTTATGACCACTCGAGAATGTTTTAAAAATTTCGGGCCTGAGTTATCTTCATTCGGTTCCCACATCAATGTATATTCCCTAGTCTTGGTCTATTCTACATCTAAAATGAATATCCAATAGAGGGCGAACAATAGATTAATTATACTGAAGTTAATTTATCTAGCCTAAGAAACATGTTAATAAAGTACAATTCTTTCGTCATTTTGTTGAGCAATGTATCTTCCCAGGATTTATACTCTTTTTTTTTCTCTGCCTCAAACATAGCAGTTAGTCGTTATGAATTGTATACCATCATAAAATACTAATTCCATCACCCACGTTTTTCCGCATTCACGTTCATAACCAAAAGAGTGTCTTCTACTTCTGATACTAAAATTTGGCATCCAAGATCCAAATTCCAGGGGCAGAAAGTAATAAAAAATATCTAATGATAGTCACGTGCCCGTACTTTCATGCTATTTGCTAATGCATTGGCAAGAGGAGTGTATCGTCATCAAAAATTTTAAACTATTCCTATGACTGAGGCGAACTTTATTAAAGAATCGCCTGATCATCGAGATATAAGGAACATGAGAATATTCACTATGCGGGTTGCCAAGATGGTGGCTCCAGCTGATTCGCATTCAACGACGATATCAAAATGCGTTATCGTAAACGCGTCGTCAGTCCAGGTATTATTATATGACATTGCGTTCAATATACAAATAGATTCTAGTCTATATACATTTTTTTTTTGGTCAAATTATAGTTTTATTCTTTGAAATATAACATTACAAGAGAACATAAAATAGCGATTAAAATTATGTCTTTTCCAATAATTTTGCAAGTGTTTCGTAGTTATAACAAGATGCATTAGAGATCAAGAAATCACAACTCGACTCCTAACCGGCCCGAAACCCGTTCAGGACCGGATAAGGTCTATTGCAGATCACTAAGACGCCTACCTAACAAATTACGCAAAAATTTATACCCAGATAAAAAAAAAGTATAAAGAAGGTATATTTTAATCTTTATTTTTCCTTCCTATTTCTTTTAATCTATTTTTTTCATAAATTTCAACAATTTTATTATTTTTTTTGTGGCATGGTTGTTATCTAGATCCTACAAAAATATATGTTTAAAAAAATAATATTAAAGCTTGAAAGAAAGAAAGAAAGAAAGAAAAAATTGATAATATGTCATTTTAACAATTTTTATGCGAGTCAAATAACTTTATCTTAAAAATAAATTTTAAAAAAATATAAAAACGTTTTCCAAACCTGGTCAAACACTATATGTTAGCATCAATGTGTTATTTTATTTTTAAAAAACACTTTTTGATGGAGTTTTTAAATAATTTTAAAAATAAATCTGATTTTTCCAGAAATGTTCATGTTCGGGAAATACCTACCCTATGAATTTAGGATAATTTTTCCAAGAACTTTTAAACTTAATAAAATTTATCCAAATATTTCATATATAAATTATAAAATTGACTCAATGGTTAATGGCAAAATTGTCTATAATTCATAAGATAGGCATTCCAAACATGATGGAGTATATTTCCAGGTAAAATCTGATTTTTAAATTTAAATTTATCATTTAAATATAAAGTAGTATCTGCCTAGCAGATCATTCAAGAAGTGATTAACTTGTACGCTGACATTGACATCCACCAAGAAGGAAAAAAACATCCATCACAATATTTCAAGGCAAGGGTCAGGAGATTCAAGTGCTAAGAAATTGAGTGGAAAAGTTTATAACATTCCTTAAAAGGGGGGTTCCATTGTTTATTAAACTGATCATTTTTAAAAAAAAATGCTGAAAAACAATAATAAGTTGACCAATATGCTTGTTACTATTTAAAACATATAAAAAAAAATACAAAACATGTCAATTTGTAGGCACTATAAGTGTATTGGTTTTAAAATAGTATTTGTAAGTAAAAATCTTTTCCAAAAATGAAAAAAATTATTTTTCTATATTTCCAAAACTATTTTTCAAAAGGAACTCCTGGTAGCAAACATTACAAAAAAATATAACATGCTAAATAACATTATTTTAAAAACGATTAAACCGGGGTCAAGTTGCATAAGAATCCACAAGATTGAATTGTAAAGTTTTGAATAATATTGAAGAAAAATATGAAGAATATTAATTTAATCTTTTGAAAGTGAGAGAGAAAAAAAATATGTTAAATAAATCATTTTTATTTAAAATTATAAAATAAATGTATACATTAAAATATTCTTAAATTTGCTAAGAGTTTAGAAGATATCACTGAGAAACCCAGTGATTAGAAGAATCAAAAACAAGATTTTCCCCAAATGTTTTTATAAGAAATTTTAAAATGGTTAGTTTAGTTCAAAAGTTTTTTTAAATCTAATAAATATGAAGGGTAATTCAAATTATTATACAGCTGTATTTTGTATATAAAATTTATTGAAAAATGCATGCTTATTTAATTTAACACAATAGGTTTCACTAATAATTATTCATCAATATTGGAATATAATATCAAGGTTTTCATCAATGAACCTTTAAAGGAGAACCATTAAGAAGAGTTTCAAGCTCCTGGATTTGTTTCACAACTCCCATACCTTTATATATATGACCAAATATAAAATATTGGCAACCATTTAATAGGGATAAAGGACAAGTTGTGATTATATAAAAATAATTTCCATTTTTCTCTCTTTCGTCAATAATGCACAGGAGGCCAATTTTATTGAGCTTTGAATAAAAAAAATATATTAAATTATCAGAATATTCAATTTTAATAGTACCAAGTTAGGAAATAGTTTGGAAGCATCTGCGATATTGTAGTGATCTTTTAAATTAGTTTGAGGGTTTAATGCCCCTATGTGGATATATTTGTCAGGATAAACTGAAATGTATTAAATAAAAGTAGAATTTAAAATACAATTTACTTGTATTTATTTTGGATCCCTTATAAAAGATGTAGGAATTTTCAGTATTTAGTGTTTCAGGAGAATTTTCTGGCTCAAGCCTGGAAAAGCCTGAACATAAGGCCAAAAAGTGTTCACATATCTTAGGGCAAACGTCATCAAATAATTCAATTATAATCTTTCCGACTAATAACATACGTGTTAAATTATATATAAATCAAGATTACTTATTATATCGCTTATTGCTATTTCCAAAAAAACTTGAGGTCGAGTTATGATTTTATCTACATCCATCCTAAAATAAGATGAGAAGTGACTGCGATGATGACACATGCAACATAATGGAATTTTACCTCAGGTTATGTCCAATTTCCTATTTATTGATTAGCTTTATTTTGATGAGTAATAATTTGTTGGACATTTAACCAAAAAAAGTTAAACAAATAATTTTAGACGTAAAGGCAGATTAAAGCATCTAAAAAAAACCCCTTTATAAAGTTATAAACTATAATTTTATAATTACCATTATTGTCATCAAGAGCTTTATAATATAATATTTTTTATATTGGTTTTTAAATTTAATTTTATTATAAATTTTTTTAATATTTGTATATTTTAAAATATAATTACTCATTGAGAACTTGTAGTCCCACCTCCTTTTTTATATAATATTGTTTTATTTTATTTTATATTTGATATATTAATTATAATATCAATTTTATTTCTATATATATTTTTAAAATTTAGAAAAAATAGGCATAATTGGGATTTTACTCCGTTTGATTCTCATTTAAACATTTGATTGACATTTTATTTACGACATGAAATAATTTTAAGATTTTCTAATAAGTCAAAGATTACATTTTTTATGGGAATCATCATTCAAAATTTTTATTAGCTCCACATTTATTTTCATGGAAGAAAAACCTAGCTTTGAAATAGTAAACTAATTTTATAACTAAAATTGAATATCAATAATTAGATCCATATTGAAGATGATAATCCCAGAGCAAAAACATTTATTCTACATAAAGAGGATCACACTTTAGGAAATGCTTTATGTAGAATTATAACCAAGATGTCAATATATTTTTTTCATATTTAGTATTATGTTTTTTTCAATAGGCCTGATGTTGAATTCTGTGGGTATACCATTCCTCATCCATCTGAACATAAAATTAATATAAGGATACAAACATATAGTATGCAAAATTTTTATATACAACATAAAATTAATAATTATACAATTTAATTATTATACAGCTATTAATGGATTCTTAATTAGTTGTTAAATGGCCTGATTTGGGTAGATTTTTAAAAACAGCCAGATTAAAATTTTAGACAAATAATGTAATATAACCTTAGAGATTTTTCTCATAGATGGCAGAGAGGTTTGAATCTCTATTTACTGAATCTTGAGGTTTACATAATATTAACTTTGTTATTTTTTACCCCATTGGGTATTAAATTCAATACTTTTATAGGATGTAAAAATAAAGACATTAATTCCTCAGTTTTTAAATATTTACCAAAATTATTAAAACCATCCCCTATCATAGAACTTTCTTCAATAGGGGTAGTTTTAATGTCTAAAGCTATTTTAGACTGATAAAATGCTATAGATGTCGAAGGCTGATTGGACAGAGAAAGTGGTATATATAAATTTTCAGCAAAATTTTTAGATTGAGCTTTGATTGAACTTTTAACTCTCCATACACAAAATTAGTAGGAGAAAATATACTACACGTCCAAAATCTTAATTGGGTCATTTAAAAATTGACTTAAATCAAGATGACTAGCAACACTATTATTATTAATATAAGCTTTTTAATATCTCTTTGAATTGTGAAGTAAAAAAACTTTCATTTATGGTGCTTTTCATTGTTTTTGAGCATCCCAGAGATGTAACATGGTTCTCAGCCAAAATTTTAACCTGATGTTAGTGGCTGATACTCAAAAATTATAAATAACATTCATAAATTAAATTTAAAATATTAATTTATGTAAAAATAATTATAAACCACCAAAAACAAAAAAAGATGTTGTTAATCTATATTTACAATTTCTTTTTATAAACTTTGTGAATTACAATCTACGAACAAAATCTTCAAGCTTACCTAATATTCTTCTGGTTAAAATACTGATTGCCAGTTACAACAAATGTGCAAAATAGTCACACATTTGTGATATTTTTTGGGCATGCTAAAATACGTGTCCCCGTAAACTATGTGTCCCCAGTCAAATGGGTCTAATTTATATAATATTAATAAAAATCTTATTTCGCTTTATTAGATGAGTCAAAAATGTAAAGTTAAATATCTTGACAAAAATTTTCAGTAAAGAAAATAAATATTATAATTTGCTTTCTTTATTAGGGCTATGTCCAATATTTTTTATTAAAAAAAGAGTTCAAAAACTTTCACAAATTTTAATGAAATAATATTTTAATTTTTATAAAATTCATAATTTTCTAGAAATTATGTTTTGGACATGTTTTTATTTATATATTTAATAAAGTTTCGAAAGTTTGTCAATTTAATTTTGATATTTTCTTGAACACAGACTTATAAATTTATGAAAATCAATTTTTTTTTCTTCTTATCAGTACAAGGTGGTTTAATATAGATTAATTTTTTTATCCTTTAATTTATGAGTGTTAAACTTGTCAGGGAGTTAGACAAGATTTAATAAAGTAATTTTAAAAATTTTATTTATTTAATTTATTTAAAAAATATTTGACTGAAAATACAATATATTTCTATCCTTTATATAGTATATTAAATCAATTTATAATAAAAAAATCTATTAAATAATTTACATCAAACTATCAAGTGAGGTTAATATTAATTTAATATAAAGAATAAAAAAATCAATCTTTAAGGTTAATATTGAGTTAATAGATAGCGAAAAATTAAATAAAATTAATCAGGACATCGCAACATTCCACCCTTTAAGAAATGAACTCCATTCCGGTTCTTCTTGGATGTAAATCTTTTAAGTTCATAACATAATCTCGATATCGCGTAGGCAATGCTTTAATTCTATTCGGCCTTTGACTGTTCAAACTCTGTTGTTGAATTTCTATATTTTCATTTCCCGCTGGTTCATCATCATTTCTCTGAGTTCCTAGGTATTGTATTATTAGTATTTGTTTTCATCAGAGTACAAGGTATTGTATTTTTGGTATTTGTTTTCATATGAGTCATTTCATTACTAAAAGGTAAGATATTCGACCTTTTTTTGATTTGGTCTAAATGTCTTTTAATAATTCTGTTTCCTGTATCTATCTCATATAATAAATTCCCATTTTTGCGTTTTACCGTGCCTTTGTCCCATATATTATCCTTGAAGGTTTTATACCAAACTTTGTCACCATTCATGATATTTCTATTTGACGATAAATTACGATTAAATTCATGCACTTTATCTTCTTGTGGTTTGATCAAATCTCATCTGGTTCTTATGGTTCTGTTGAACATCACTTCGCTTGGTATCTTGTTGGTTGTTGCGTTTGGTGTGTTGCGATAATTGATTAAAAACTTTTCTAAAGCTATATCTAGTCTATTTTATTATTACTTTCCATGTTCCTGTTCATGCATATTTTCATTGATCTTATCATTCGCTCACACTGACCATTGGACTGTTGGGGGTGAGGCGCGGTGAGAATGTGTTTAATTCCATGATCATTGCAAAATTTGTTGAACAAGTTGCTTGTAAAATTAGTATCATTATCACTGATTATTTTATTGGGTATACCAAATAAGCTGATTATTTTTAACAATTCTTTGATTGTTAACTCAGTGGTTTCTCATTCTTCTAATGATAGGAAACTTGCTGAGTGCGTCAACACATACCATGAAATTGCTACCTTCAAATTATGCAAAGTCGATGTGTACGCGTTCGAAGACATTTACAGCTGTTTCTCATGGGTTTTGTACATTATGTGTCCGAATATTTATTACACGTATCACAGTTTCTCACCTCCTGATCTATTTCAGCGTTTAGACTAGGCTACCACATATAATCTCTCGCCAATGATTTCGTTTTCCCACCACCTAGATGCCCTTTATGTAATTTTTGCAATATCTCCTTTCTCATATTTTTTGGTATTATCACCCTATAAAGGCAATTTCCCATAATACATAATTCCGTTATCATATTGTTGTATGTTTTATTTTTTATCGTGTCACCGTTTCTAATATCGTTAATTACTTCCATTAATTCTCCGGCGTTAAAAGTTACTTTTTCTATCATTTTTGAGTTAATTGATATTTCCCATAAATCATTATTTTCTTTTGCATGGACCACAATAAGTATATCTTCTTCTGAAGATGTTAATGGCAATCTGGATAAACACCGTGTTGTGTTAACCCGCTCTATGTCTTATATCGAAGTCGTAAGCTCCCATTGCAATGTTCCATTTCTGTAACCTCATCGACATGGATGAATTTTCTTTCGATCTCTTGGAGATAATATAAATCAAGGGCTTGTGATCGGTGATGATGTAAATTATGTTCCGATCAGATATTCATGAAATCTTTTCATCGCAAAGATAATCGCCAACGCCTCGCGTTCAATGTTAGTGTAATTTCTTTCCGAATTAAGTTGCCAGACCCGCAAAACTGTTTGAAAATTCATGGTAATAGCTCGCCATGCCTATGAAATTAGATAATTCTTCTGAAATTTTTTGGTTCCGGCATATCTACAATTACTTTTTTTTTTATCATCATTGGGATGTATGCCATGTTTGTCTATATCATGTCCCAAAAAGCGTATTTTACCTTGCAGGAATAAACTTTTGTCGATAAGTACCCAGATGGGTTTTAATCAAACATTGCCTAAGCGATATCGAGATTATGTTATGAACTTAGAAGATTTACATCCAAGAAGAATCGGAATGGAGTTCATTTCTTAAAGGGTAAAATGTTGTGATGTCCTGATTGATTTTCTTAATATTTATTTTTCGCTATCTATTAACTCAATATTAACCTTAAAGATTGATTTTTTTATTCTTTATATTAAATTAATATTAACCTCACTTGATAGTTTGATGTAAATTATTTAATAGATTTTTTATATATATATATATAAATTGATTTTATATACTAATATACTAAATAAAGAACAGAAATATATTGTATTTTTCGGTTAAATTTTTTTTAAAATTACTTTATTAAATCTCGTCTAACTCCCTGCCAACTTGAAAGGTTAAATAGTAACAAAAACTTGAAAAATTTTGAATTAGTACCGAATATTCAAATTGAAAGAGATTCTTACAAATTAAAAGAGATAAATTATATGATAAAATTTGAAATTTGTGATTATAGAAAATAACGGAATAAACATTAAAGAAAATAATGAAATAAAAACTTTTATAATTGATAAAAAAATTAAAAAAACTGTGAGAATAAAGAAACGTAAAACAAATATTATAAAGAAAGGCAAGGTGAACTGGATGTTAAAAAAGTTTTTAAGAATGTGATATGGAAATCATTTGTTGGAAGGCGAATTAAAATTCTTTTAAAGAACAATTTAAAAATAATTTGATATGAAAAAGTTAAATGTCTCTCCGGAGTGGTTAATGATGCTTACTACCAAGTGAATGTATGGAAATATTCTAAATACCAACATAATTTGCTAAATACAGACCAAAATTTATTAAAATGTCATAAGACTTATTATTTAATATATTAATATGGAATCACGTGGTCGAGTCCGGCCTTCTATATATCATACCCCCAAGGATGGAACCACCAAGTTAGAATAAGAAAAAAATATAATTATTATCGGGATTCGAACCCGTGACCATGGGATGAGTAAGCGAAGCTCTAACCGACTAGGCCATAGAGGCTTTCCAAAAATTACGATTTTTCAAATATATATTATAAATATATTTGGTAGTGCCTATCCAAATGAAAATAAACAAAATTCAAATATGATAGATGGTACCTTAAGGTACCAAGCATCATTAACCCTCCTTCGTATCCCTCCGCTGCCACAATGTTAAGGTTGGCAGGGAGTTAGACAAGTTATAATGAAATTTATTTAAAAAATATTTAACTGAAAATACAATATATTTCTGTTCTTTATATAGTATATAAAATCAATTTTATATATAAAAAAAATCTATTAAATAATTTGCATCTCAAACTATCAAGTGAGGTTAATATTAATTTAATATAAAGAATAAAAAAAAAATCAATCTTTAAGGTTAATATTGAGTTAATAGATATCGAAGAATAAACATTAAAAATATCAATCAGGACATCACAACAATGAGTCACAATATACTATTTTTTGGGTAAACTTAAAAGTATTGGCCGATACAAACAGATAAATTGTGATAATCGATTCAAATGTATCTGATTTTTTAATTTTGCCATGTTGGGATCTAAATCTCGATAGGAATGGAAAGCTTTTGTGATTCAATTAATTTTATTTGTGTACTCTAGAGTTATTAAAAGACTTATAACAATTAATTGGATCTTTTAAGCTTTGTTACCTTCTTTTTTTTTAGTATACCTTAAATTATTCATACAAAATGCCTATCTTAATTTTATTAATACACAAGAAAAACCTGCTATTGAAATTCTCCAATCAGGGCTTCGAGAACTCAGCGAAGTTTGTAAACACGTGTTGACCACTTTCGAAGTATTTTTAATGTTCAATTACGATATCGCAATTTTTACAATACGACACGGAGTTGGGCCAAACATTTCCACAATTTTATTCTTGTTATCTTATAAAATTAGAGAAAAAAAAGCAGAAATAAAGTAATTTAATGTAAAAATTTTGATCCGTTTAAAATGAATAAGGCACCGTTTTAATTTAAAATATAAAAATGAGCGATCTTCATCGGTCTTAATTTTTCAAGTCTGGCCCGAACCCCAAATTTTTTTTAAAAAAAGTTTTAACCGACCCGGTCCGAACCCGAAATTTTTTTTAAAAAGTTTTAACCGACCCGGTCCGAACCCGAAATTTTTTAAAAAAAGTTTTAACCGACCCGGTTCGAACCCGAAATTTTTTTAAAAAAGGTTTTAACCGACCCGGTCCGAACCCGAAATTTTTTTTAAAAAGTTTTATCCAACCCGGTCCGAACCCGAAATTTTTTTTTAAAAAGTTTTAACGATCGAGTTCATACCCGAAATTTTTTTTTAAAAGTTATAACTGACCCGGTCTGAACCCGAAATTTTTTTAAAAAAGTTTTAACCGACCCGGTCCGAACCCGAAATTTTTTTAAAAAAGTTTTGACCGACCCGGTCCGAACCCGAAATTTTTTTTAAAAAAGTTTTGACCGACCCGGTCCGAACCCGAAATTTTTTTTAAAAAAGTTTTAACCGACCCGGTCCGAACCCGAAATTTTTTTAAAAAAGTTTTAACCGACCCGGCCCGAATTCGAATTTTTTTTAAAAAAAAGCTATGCCGGCTCGGCCCGAATTTATTTTAAATATAGAAAGCTAATTTTTATGATTACTCAAATATAAAAGATATAATATGTTTTATACAGCTACATAAAAAAATTCAACATAAAATCGATAGATTTATTTAAGATATATTTATAAAAAAATTTCCAAAAAACCCCACCCGAAGCCCTTCCGGACCGTTACGGATCTCTGATAAAAATTTGCCTAAACCTCAAAACTCCTCTAATATATGCCTATTACACCTTTGTGCCCTTCTATGAACAAAATTTTCGGGGTTTGCTTTCTCGAGTTAACCGTTTTTAAAAAAATCGGCTCAGGAACGAAACCCGTTTAACTAACACTCAGAGACTGACTGGCTCGGCCCTAAGCCCGGCCCGGGTAGCTCGGCTCACCTTCTGAGATTTAGGACATCCTTTTAAAAAATGCAAGAAGTTTCCCCAAATTACCCTCCATTTATATCTCCAAATAGCTCATTAAAAGGGGTTTAGCTGAATGCCACGATTTAGCTTCTGTCATCTTACAATAATCCTCCCTTTAAATAATGACTAAAAAATTTATTGCAGGGAAAATGAGCTTGTTACCAAAACCCGGCACTACCGACCATAAATGATTGACTACCCTGCTTTTCCTTAACATTTTTCTTATAAATAGGACAAATAACACACAATATGAGGTTTATCGAATCGATTTATAAGTTTATCATATTATTGCATAAAATTACAAAAAATAAAAGACATTGCAATTAAATTAAGATCAAATTTTGGTCTCATCTAGATGACCACCTTTATTCTTAATAATTGCTGCCAAAAATTTTTGTAATCTTTCGATGAGATTTTTTTAAATATTCGGAAGTGTTATTGTTCCATTCTCTCTGCCATATTTCCCAAAGGTGCGAATGAGAGGTTAGAGGGCTTTTTCGCGCTTGTCGATCAAGGTTATCCCATAAAAGTTCGATTGGATTGAGATCGGGAGACTGGGATGGCCAAGTCATCAATTAGAGAATACCGTGTTGTTGTATATTTTGTAAATAATCTTTGCATAGCCTGGATGTGAGCTTTGGGTCATTATCTTGTTAAAATAAAAAGTTATTCCAGATCAAACACTTTCTTGATGAAATCTCATGGTCCTCGAGGATTTGCCGGTATTCCTCCTTGTTAAGGATTCCTTTAATTTTGACAATGTCGGCGGTTGCCACGCCACCAAAGCACTTCTACACCATAATAGACCCTCCCCTAGAATTTGATTGTAGGAATTATGCAGTGATCGCTCTCCAGCTGAGCGGCGGATATATTGCCTTCTTTTAGAACCGAAGATTTCGAATTTTGACTCATCACTCCATAAGACGCCAAAATTGATGTTTTCGTGCCTACTCTAATCGCTTAAGTTTATTTTTTTGCTCAAGAGTGGCTTTTTGACCGCTACCCTACCATAAAGTTCCTAAGGCGCCTTTTCACAGTTGTGACACTTATCGGGTTTTCCCGAGTCAGATTAATCACCGCAGCTATCTCTGAGGCGACAAGGCGTCTATTGCCTTTACTGATCCTTGCTATATACCTATCATCGCCTAAAGTCGTTTTTCGAGGTTCACCAGGCCTCATTGGATTCCATACTGTATTTTGTTGCGTAATCTTTTAAGTTACACTTTAGGGTTAATTCTCTTGTCAATTCGGCCATTAATTTTACCACTTATGTGCAAATTAATTATTTTGCAATTAGTTGGAATAGAAATTTTTTTTTCTTTTGATCATTTTGGTCGAATGTTCGTTAAAATATTTATAAAGATTGAAAGTTTCGCTAAACATTGATTTAAAACACAAAAGAAAATCTAATAATTTTAAGCAGATTAGAATGTGATTATATGACTTTCTTCCAAAAAACATTGGGCAACTTAAAATTGTTGCTGAGAAAAAAAACTAATGAACCTTATTTTACCAAATTGGTCATTTTTGACATGTTATAAGGCTGAAATTTCCATAGAAAGATTTATAGAAATTCTGAGTTTTTTATTTCTAAACATGTCTAGACATCTTTAAATTAATTAATCGATTCTGCTTTTACCCAAATAAGTTAAAAGTTTCTAAGTTATTATTTTTTTTAAGGTAAAAATGCAAGGTGGGCAGTCATTTATGGCCGGTAGTATATATGTACAGCACCTTAGACATGGACAAGCACGGATCTAAGAATTATCGCAATTCCAATATTGGTCGTATGGTTTAAAATGTTGTTGTAAATATCAGAGACACGCAGGACCGGGTTCACGGGCCGGGCCGGATTTTAATATTTTTTTAATATACTCAGAACCGGGTCGGGTTTGCCATTAACTATTGAAAATTAGAAAATAAATGTAACTCCCTCCCCTTCCATAAACCCGGTTTAAATAGGTTCACTATTTATAAACGCGGGTTTTTCGAGATTTGTTTTCCCCTAAAAAAAGGGTTGCATTTGCGGTTCGGTTTTTTGAACTGCTGATGCTATAATATAACAAGACCGTAAAGATAAATAATTGAACTGTTTAAAGATGGAACTATTACATTTTTATATCTTAGGCTCCCTCATTTACGGTAAACGCGTTAGGCTCAAGCGGAGGGCGCGTTATCTGCGGAATAAATGGAAGCGTTATGATGTTGGCGCTACGGTAAAATTTGAAAAACATATGTTGCGATAAGGAAGAAAAAAAATGCGAATCTCGATCTTTAGCCTTGTCTTATTTAAATCACAGCCATCCGTGAAGAATCAGCTGTGATTTAGATCGCGTTAAATATTACGCGACGCTTGAACATAGCGCGTTTACTATAAAATCGGGATTCACTAATATCAAAATGAATATTTTTTGTTGTTTAAAAAAAAGAATGTTATTTTACCCTAAGAAAATTTCTATAATTTGCAAGCATCCTCTGTATGTATCCCGACTCAGCTGGCACGCACATAAACATGACTCAGGAGATATATTTATTTGAATTGACCCGTTAGTGTTGTTAGATGTTTCAGCCGATTTTTCCAAAAAGGGCTAACTCAATATTAGAGCCAGAAAAATTAGGGGTCTAAGCCTCGAGATTTGTGATAATATATATCTAGAACCTTCGTTCCTCTTCTACGAGCAAAATCTTCAGGCTTGGCCTAACATTTTCTGGATAAAATATCGGGTTCGCCGTTTTTTAAAAACCGGCTCGAATCGAACTGTTTAACAACACTATTCGCGATATTCGTTATAATATTTATCGCTTATTTAATATAGGATTCGATGAAAGAATACGAAAAAGAAAAAGGGGGATTGACAATAGAATGAGAATCAATGATCGAAGTCACATATAATACAAGAATATATGATATGAAGTTGATAAATTAATATTATGGAAATAAAGCTTGTAATTCATTTTTTTTACTATAAAGGGTTAAATTATTATATAATTGAATTGAACTTCTTTTTTTCTATTAATTATGATGTGGTTTAAAGCAAAAATCACCCTTTTTTGATTTTAATTAAGAGTTTTAAAGCCTAGCAAAAATCAAGATTTTTTTTGATTTAAATCAAGTTTTACAAGGTTGAAAAAAAAATCATTATTTTTTTTGATTTAAATCGCGTTTACTTAAATACATTAACTAGAAATTTTTAACTCATCAAAAGTCTCTTTAATATTTTCCTTTACATGTATGTTATAATAGATTTTATAAAAAAGTATTTATTTACTCCCAATTATGGAAATGGGCAAGTCTATCTTAAAGTTATATACGACCGAACCTATAATAAACGTCATTACATTTCCCTTTTAATAGGGCATGATTGGTTTGGGGCCTATGTATCCACAGCTGATTCTCGTAAAAACGAAGGAAATACCAATCATACCCCTGATTGAATATCACCATTACGGTTCCCAATACAAATCGAAAAACGATCCTACTAAGATTTTGACTAGAATACTGTTATGTATGTCAAAAAAATAATGTCACAGAAGATGTTATTTTTTATCGTCATTTAAAGGGGCCTTATATATATTTTATTAGGAAGCCTCACAGTTAATGGTACCAATTCGCCTCATATTATATAATTAAGGTTTAGAAATTTATAAAAGTATAATGAGATAAGATATAGGCTTTAAATCATTAAAATGTAAACAGCTGTTGAAACTTAAATTTTAATATTACAAATTTTAAGAAACGTCAATCTATATGCATTTTTTAATTCTTGTAAATTTTATTATGTATTGTTTATATGATATTTAGTTTGGTATTAATATTTGGGAATGCAGAAATATATTGGATATAAAAGTCTTTTTATATATTAACATGTTCACATACCTTAAACATTTCTTATTATTAAATAAAATTAACAGTTTCTAATCAATAATCCTGCTTACATCTTTATCTTTTAAGCTTAAGGCTGCATTCAAAGTGGAAGACGGACCCGTTTTTTACCGTTCCGTCAAAAGTCAATCTCATTAAAAATGATATATATGTTCATTGTACGTCCGTTCCGATACCTTCCGACTTAAAAACGCATCCGGCTAATTTTGAAGTCAAAACTTTTTTTAGAGCGTTTTAACCTTACTGTATCATTTTTTAAAAAATGATATGATATATTTTGTTGATGCTATTAGAGAAGCCAAATTCTCTTTTCTTTTTACGACAAAACAGATGAAAATTACAAAGATGTAAATATATAAAAAAAAACAGAATATTGGAAAAATATAGGATTGCCATTATGTCAATCAGGTATTTAAACTTTATAAATATAAACATAACCTAACTTTGACCAATTATGGCTTTAGTATGGCCTTTAGCCTTAAAAAATTTGAATTAATTCTAATTTGAGTCTCAACTTGAAGATTGTGTTTGGAATATTTTTGGTTGAAAACATAGCTGGGCGGTGTTTTATAGTTGACTAAAGTTACGTAGTTTAAACAACACTAATAACTGACACTCTAAATAATTATGTAGATATTTAAGTCTATTTATTCATTTTTTAGAGGAAAAATTTAAGAGATTATCTTAATAAAGAATATAAATTACGATAGGTAGTCCAAGTGGTTCTGCATCAGCTGGACCACCATATAAATAGACATGGCCTTATTGTTCAGCCTGACCTATAATTATATCATTTTAAGTTATAATTTCAGGCAAGTGGCTATTTATACAAGTTACTTTTTTTAGAAAAATGACACATTAAAAAATCAGAGTATCGATTTCTAATAAATCTTATTATTACCCATTCGCCAAGTATTTACTTTGAATAATATAACAGACAATATTTATTTATATGTAAACTAATTTTATTGATATTTTTATATAAAAATCCGTACACAAGATGGCGCTAAATACCTATTAATTAAAATATTCTAATTTTTTATAGTTTTTTTTTATTTCATTTTAATTTAACTTTTATATTTTTTTATTATTTTTTGTTAAACACTTTTGTATAATAAAATATGAATAACTACAAACTATCAAAAAATTATTAATGTGAAAAGATATATCATTTAGAAATATGAATTTAAAAATCTTTTCCCTTATTTACGATAAATGCATTAACATAGTATAACTGTTTGGTATGAATATGAGTTGGTTGATAGAATGTGCAACACTTAGAAATTTAAAATACAGCAAGGAAAATTATAGAGAGAAAAGTATGTTCTATAATAAAAATAAGTTACTATGATTGAATGTTATATAGATGTGTTCAACATTTAGCAATATATGTATTAGGTTTATAAATAAATTATATAATAAATTTATTAAATACAATACATTTTATTACGCTTTGATAACCCCGCAATAAAATAACCATATCCCATCTCCCACCATCAAACCCCCCTTACCACCTCTTTTATATAGACATGGAGGTGGTTTTAAATTCGCAAGGCCTTAGTTGATATTATTTTAAATTTAATTTTTTTATTAAATAAATTATTTTAGTACTATTCCCATTGAGCAAATTAGAAATAAATATAAGAATATAATAAATTTAAAAAAAAATTTTTCATATTATTTGTAGAAGTCTAAACACTTTCTCCTTTCCAATATTTTATAAGCTCCGTTCTCGAAATGAGTCTAGAACATCCTATTCTCATATTTCTGACAAATTATTGTCTTAGAAAAGGGCTCATAAAAACATATGAAGTTCGCCCTTGGTCGGGAAATTGTGATTATTCTATCAGATTGGAATTCTGTTATCCGATTGGTCGGACCCGTAATAAATAAATTCTATTCTATAGGCAAGGCATGGATTAAGAAAGAAAATATTCTTTTTTGCGTATAAACCTGAACGATAAATAATAATCTATTTTTATCAGTTAAATATTTTATTTCAATTCCCATGGAAAGAAAATAATATTTAAGTTACACGTTACCTTATATAAAACTTGTCAAATTGGTACACCCCCCTACTCCCCAACAATATTAGTTTTTATTCGTGATAAGAACTTATTACTGTGCCATTCTTGCTTTTATTTATCCTAAAATAAAATTGACTACTACAAATATATTCATACATTTCTTTGGCGATTATTGACAATTTTCCTTAAATTTATCTCCTCAGCCTTAAACCTATATTATATATTATTTTTTTTAAAAAACAGCTGATACACCAAGATTTGTGATCCATCGCCATATCTGTTTCGTATGATCAACCATTCTTCCCTTTGCAATAATAGGTGGATTCATGCACGAGAACAAATAAAATAATCCCTTGCTTCCATGGTAGAAAATTTTGTATAAATCACTGATCAAAACTCCCTTTTTATGCTTATAATTTTTATTAACTCTATTAACCTTTTAAGTCCAAACCCCCAAAAAATTATTTTAGAACTATTACCTATATGTAGAACGAAGAGTACTAAAAGTATTAAAAACATCGTTGACTACAAGATAAATAGCTACATATAGAAAGAAAGACTTTAAAAATAATTCCAAATTGTCAATATAAAAAGTATGCTGCATTACGAAAAAAAGCTTTACTATATTAGGTACT